TCTCCCTCCCCTTCCCCGAAGACCCCCTCCTCCTCCCCCCTCGCACACAGCATCACATGCTTCCCCCCCCCCCTTCCTCCTCCTCCTTCTCCTTTCCTTCTTTTCCTTCTTTGGCAGTCAGTCCCGGTACCGAACCGCACCACACCCCGCCCTCCCACACCCACACCCACACCCACACCCACACCCACACCCACCATCACTCACATACATACATACATACATACATACATGCTGCAAACATACCTCCGCTTCCCACCATTCACGCCCATACTCTGTCGTGTTCCGTGTCTGCTGGGGCAAACGTGCGCGTTGTGGGCCACAAACGCGCGCTTCACCTCTCTTCCGCTGCGGTTGGCGATTCCGGCTTCGGGTGGTTTGCTGGGGTTGATTGGTTGATTGGGGGGGGGGCATGGGCGGAGACAGTCTGTGATACACACAGGCACACCCACCGTTCGGGCGAAAGCCCCGTCCTCCTTCTCCTCTGGCTCCTTGTTCCACTTCCTCTTTATCTTGCTGTTGGGCTTGCGCTCGGTCCGCTCGCTCCATTCTCATCCGCTCCTTCATCTCTCTCTCTCTCTCTCGCCTCGGCACACCGGTTGACAGACTGCTCCTGACTCTGGCCACGTCATGCAAACTGGGCTGACTTCTGGCCGACGTGACGACGGCGATGACATATCTTCCAACATAGGTGGCGATGACAGTGCTGCCGCCACTTCTGGCGCTACCGCTGACATGGATGCTGTTGCTGCTGCCACCACCGTTGCCGCGCTTGCAAGCAACAGAAGGTCTGCCGCTGCCTCCAAGCCCGAGTCCGAGCCGGCGGCGGCATCCAACAGCAGCAAGTCCGAGCTGGAGCAGCATGGCTTGCGATCGTACACCTGCGTGCGCTGCAAGCGCAGGCGGCCCGAGACCGCGTTTCCGGTCCAGAAGCGCAATCTCAAAAAGCCGCGGCACATCTTCGCCGACAAGTATCTCTCGCGACTGGTGTGCACCTGCCTCGAGTGCGTCTTCTTTACCGCCCGTTATGCCCGCCCGCTTCCGGGCGCCACAACCGACGTATTCACCACTGGCCCACAGCCGCTGATTGTGCCGCTCGAGCTCCAAGCCGAGACCGAGGTCGCAGCACCCGAACCTGAAGCCGAGCCTGTAGCCGAGACCGAGACCGAGGCAGAGACAGAAGCCGAAGCCGAGCTCCCTACCGCCGACGCCGCCGCAACCGGCAACGACTCTGGTGACGGAGCCAGTGCATCCGTCGGCTCCGAGGTCCCAATTCGGCGCAGCGGGCGGCGGCGGCGATCCTCTACGCTCAAGTCTGCGGTGGCAGAAGCATCACCGTGGCGGCGGCAGCGGTCGTCCAGACCGCGAAGCGCTGCGCGCTCTCATACGACGGTGGTCCGGTACGTCGAGCACAAGCACTCGATGTTCTGCAACAAGGTCGCAGGCTGGGTCCGATTCGACGAGTGGGCAACGCTCGATGACGTGCCGGCCGAGGACGCGCCGCGCGCCAAGTGGATTGCTTACCTCAAGGCTCACGCCATTGGGGTGGAGCGCAACCCATCGACTAGCGAGCCGGTCCTCATCATCCCGCACACCCACAAGAAGCGAACCGGCGAGCCGGGCAAGACATGCAAGGTCCAGTTTGACGAGACCAACTTTGTGTTTGGCCTCCGCCGCGAGAAGCGAACCAAGTCGTCGCCGCCAGTGCGGCAACCGCCGTCATCGGCCACCTCCGCCCGCGCAACCACCACCACTATCAAGTCGCAGCGCCGTAGGACGCCCACCAGCAGAATGGTGCCTGTCCGGTCTGCCTCGAACCGGACCTCCGAATGGATGCAAGCCAGTGCCATGCCGGCTCCCGGTACGCCCTCGCACAGCTCTATGCCACCCGGCACGCTGGCTCCCGGTCTCATGGGCATGTTCGGGCAGAGCATGTACGGCATGCCAGGCATGGCTCCTCTCGGCGGCTCGAATCCAGCAGCAAGCATGGCTGCGCTCGCTGCCTCGTCCGCCATGCTCTCAAGCATGTACGGCATGATGCCGCATGGCATGATGCCCGGCATGATGCCGCATGGTATGATGATGCCGCCGGGCGCGCTCGGCTTTGGCGGGAACCCGTATGCTGCCCTCGTTGGCCCGCACGCCACCGCCGCGCTAGCCCCGCTTGCCCTCCCAGCAGGCGTCTCGCGGCCCGTCGCCGTTCAGGCCGCCGGAACGCTCGTCGCGCCGACGCCGGCGGTGCAACCTCCAGCACCGCAGCCGCATAGCGAGGTCGCTATGGACGTTGTGTCCAAGATCAAGCCCAAGGCCGAGCCCGGCGTTGCAACCGCAGCCATCGACAGCGCCTGGGCGCGCCTTGCCAGCCATCGAGTTAACCTGTCCGACTCCATCGGCATCTCATGGATCCCCAACGTGTCGATAACGGCGCAGATGGCGCTGGTGGTCATGGCTGGCCTCCTTGCCGCCGCTGACGACGGAGAATCACTCAACTCTCTCGCGGCCTTTGCCACCGCCCGCCAGCTGGCGCTCCTTCCGCCCAGCCTCAGCACCGATGCTATTGCCAATCGTCGCGCATTGTATGCCTCGTACATCGCTGACGCCATCGCTGACGCCGTCGCTGCCGCACACGAGATCACCGACGGCATGACTGCCCTCTTGGAGACTGCTGGCTCTAGTTTGGTCGATGCTTGGATCGGTGTAGGCGCCGACGGCGGCCTCACCATCCACCCGGCCTTTAGCGAGTGGTGCGAGCGGATGGCCACTGCCGAGCGCACTCTTCTCGCTGCTGCCCTCCTCGCCACACCTACCATGCCCGGCGAGACATACTGGACGTCGGCAACTCGGCCACCAGTCTTTGCCGTCTCGGACATTGTGCGGCTCGTCGTCGCCCTCGACGCCGCATCGCGCTCGGCTCGCCCTGTCGACGTGTTTGAGTCTGGATACGCAGCCGCTTCCCGCGCGCTCATCGCTGATCTCCGGCTCCTAGTCGACTTTCGGGCCTTTGCGGCATCGCCATCGTCGGCAGACCCGCCACCGCTTCCAGGTGCCGCTTTTGACGCCGCCCTGGCCAAGTCGCCGGTCTGGCCGGTCGTGCCTGACGAGCTCACACTCTTTGCCACCGCCGATCTGGATGCCTTCCGTCCGCTCTGGAATGCGTTCACTCGCTCGGCTCGCATCGGCGCCAAACTGGTCTGGCCCTTTGCTCTGCACCCGTCGCGCAAGCGCGCCCGCGATGCCGCCAGCGGCGGCGCCTCCAACGACGGAGATCAACAACGGGAAAGGGCAGAGAGCCAAGGCGCCTCCGTCGACGACATCCCCGCCGAGCCCGCGCCCAAAAAGGCCCGTCATCTATAGACTGATGTCGGTGCTGTGTTGTAAATGTGATCATGCCTTTACTCCTCCGCCAGCGTCGCCACTTGCACCACAAAGTCGGCTCGTGGTCGGATCTTGGGCCGCGCGTTGACCACAGTCCGCCACGCCTCCTCGGGCGAGTACCCGCGCCGCGTCACAAGATACGCCGCAACCACCGCCGGCGACCGCGACATGCCGGCCTGGCAGTGGACAAGCACGGCGCCGTTCGCAGCATCGATGAGCTCGGCAGCAGCAGCGGCAGTCGCGAGAATATCGCCATCGCTATCGCTCTGCGGCAGGTGATGGCGCTCGACCTCAAACCACGTCGGCGTCTTGGCCTGGCATCCCACAGACACCACCGTCGTTATGCCCAGCAAGCATAGAAGCTTACAGTCTCGCGAGGCAGACTGGTTGCCGAGGTACAGCTCGCCCGCTACTATCTCAGAGATCTTGCCCGGGAGTCTCCGGTTCGCCATCGCGGCTTTCGCGGTCGAGGGCGGAGAGGTGTTCGAATAGACTCGGACGGCCGCTTCTGATGCGTTTGTGTTTGTGTTTGTAGTTGGAGTGGGGGGGGGAGGGGAGAGAGGGATCGACGCCAGCCATGGGCGACTTCACATCTGCGGGCGGGCGCCGCGGAGCTCGAGCTCGCGGACGTGCTGGCAGACGACGCAAGGGGTGCAGCAGACGAGGCAGCAGTAGTCCTTGCACTCGAGCTCGGGCATGCCGCGCGAGTTGAGGATGTTGTACCGCTCGACGATGCGCTTGCGGTTCTGGTACACACACCACCATGTGACGGGCCAGCCAAGGCCGTAGAGGCCATTGAGGAGGTACATGCCGATGCCGATGCAGATGTCGCCTCCGCCAAACGGCTCAGCGTCAAGCCATGCCTTGTTGCGCATGACACCGCAGGTGAGGCAAAAGCAGCCACAGCAGCACGAGTCCATATCCTGGAAGCAGTCGCAGTAGTCCGACTGCCACATCTGCGGCTCACCATCTCCCCCAGCGTACTTGGCCGGGTACGCAGCACCATTGGACGCAGCCATCTGTGTGTAGGGGAAGGGGGGGGGGGAGGGGGGGGGGGGGTGCGCGTGAGGGTAACAAAGGAGTACGAAATGGTCAGCAGCGAACGAACGTATTCATGAATGACGAATGACATCATTTTTTTGGGGAGGTTGGCAGAGTGGCGGAGGGGAGGGGGGGT